ACTATGAAACCTCTAATCTATCCCATCTCAAACCCCAATGGGTAACTACTCACTACACATGAATGTAAACACAAGCAAATGCAATAAAAGAGACATCATAAGAAAGAGGAGATGAAATTAAACAACTTTTATTGAAATAAGCAAGTGCAAATACAAGAGAGATTATCCAGGATCTAGGATTCAAGAAGCAAGAGCTTCAAGAACACAAAGATGGGATTAGATCTCTAAAAAGTAAAAGTACAATAAAATAAAGAAAAGCTAAAACAAAGATAATTTTTCGTGGCTTAGACCTTTAAATACAAGAGGTTTTAGGTTTAGGGTCAAAGGAAAGTCAAGGGGGAAGCAACATTTTTCGGGTTTGACTGTTGACTTCTCAGCTCGATCGAGTTGAAGCTTGGCCGGTCGAGTTGAGGAACTCGACCGGTTGGTCGAGTAGACGGTCGAGCTGGTCTTCAAGATGACTTCTCCCTTCTTCCTTTGCGTATCCAGTTGAGCTGCGTCCATGTGCCAAGTCCCTCCATGCTCCTCATGTCCAATATGCTCCAGAATGCTCCAAAAGACCTATTTCAAAGGACCAAACATGCATATGTATGCAAATGCAACCTAAAACTAACATGAATGCATAAGAAGAGAAAAGGAACAAGATATGATGCAAATGGATGCTAAAACTATGCAAAAGATGCATAAAAGATGTGCTAAAACTATGTAAAATGCAAGTACATCACTGCTTTATGCAGCATCCGCCAATGGTCATAGTGTCTGACCGAGCCAAGGCCATTGCTAGAGCATGTGAGATCGTGTTTCCTCTCCAAGGTAACATATCTCCAAGGTCAAGGATTTCCATGCAAAAGAGATCATGTATATGGTTAAGGGTGCAGCTTACGCTCATACAGTTCCTGAGTATAACCGCTACATGGACTTCATTCGAGCTGCAAAACCTGAGTTGGCAACTTACCTAGAGGAAGCAGATCCGAAATTGTGGTCTAGAGTTCATTTTCCCGGTGATAGATACAACATAAAGACGAGTAACATCGCCAAATCAATTAACTCGGCTGTTCAGAAGGCAAAAGGATATCCCATTCCAAAGCTTTTGGAATTTATAAGGGAGAAGCTTGGGAGATGGTTTACCAAGAGGCGTGAGGATGCTATGAGTCTCACAACTACCCACAGCAGAGGAGTTGAGTACATTTTAGCTGTGCGTTCAGATTATGCGGCAAGTATGACCGCTGAACGCATAGACACTTGGTGTTATCACATAACGGGAGGAAAACGTGATTGCAATGTCGACTTGTTCCGCAGAACGTGCTCTTGTGGGGTGTATGATGTTGAGAAAATTCCTTGTACTCATGTCATTGCAGCCGCAGCCGCATCAAACGTACTAATGTCCCATTACGTGTGCGATTCTCATTCTAAACTTTGCTTGTATTCAACCTGTGCACATCTGATCTATCCTAAGGCGGGATCTGACTCACACGTAAAGAAACAACCGTGTTTGATTCCAGTTGAAAAGGTCCCTCCTGGTAGGAAGAAGAAGTCGAGGTGGCTAACTTGGCTAGAAATGTCGAGGAAGAAAAACAATAAACCGAGGAAGATGCACAAGAAGTACAGCTGCTCTAAGTGTGGGGAAGCAGGACATACTCGCCCAAAATGCGTAAGCTCATCACTATATCCTTCTTTTGTATCCATCTTGAAAGTCTTTAACAATTATCTGGGAATGGTCGAACAGGTCGCAGAAGACTGATGTGAAGTTGGATGAAGTCTACCTAGGCAGTCTACATATGAAGCCTAATTCCGCTTCTCTTTGTGTTTTTAATACTCCTGAAGTCTATCTATTAAGTTTTAAGATGAAGTCTACCATCTGTTCTTTAGTTTGGCCGTTTTAGGGTGGTGAAATGGAGGAAAACTAAGGTTTTTTGTTGTTTTTAAAATATTGAAGTCTACTCATGAAGTCTGTTCTTGAAGTCGACAGATGAAGTCTACCATCTGTTCTTTAGTTTGGCCGTTTTAGGGTGGTGAAATGGAGGAAAACTCAGTAGATTACCCATCACAACCTCACAACAATGCAAACATGCATACAAACACACAAGAGATTTGACGGCATAACTTCTCTCCTAGAAGATTATCCATCACAACCTCATAACACATTATATAAATTTCTGCAGCATAACTCTCCACAATTTTTACTAAACCTTATTGTTTAGAGAGTTATACTACAGAACCAATAACCAATATGAACAGAAAGCATCTCCCATGCTTTGGTGTTCATACAACCTGCATACACACACAAAGATCCAAAATACTAAAACTATAACACCAAGACTCACCACTTTAAGAAGACTTCAAGATCCTCCTAGCTTTCCTTAAGCTTTGATCTTGACCTACTCTAATCTTCCACTAACCTCACTTAATTAAGAAAACTTTCTTAATTACTCTCTAATCACTTTTCAGGTGCTCTCTAGCTTTGGGAATGGAATGGTTTGGACTTGGGGCTGGAGGAGCGTATTTATAGGAGTTCAGGAGGCTGCCTGGCTTCTTGGGACGTCTCCAGTCATGCGCAGACACATGGAGACCTAGGTCTAGCATAGCTTTGCTTGGTGGCGACCTACACTGCCTCAGAACGCGACATCCAGGCGGTCTAGGCTAGGTAGCTTTGATTGGTGGCCTCTAGGGCGTCTCAGGACATGACACACGTCATTCCTATCCCCTCTCAATGCTCATCCAATGAGCCGACTTCCCCCAAGCATGTGGTGTGATCGTCCGATTGGTTATAACTCATCTTATCCATTAAGCTGTTGGTGCTTCTGTCTGATTGGTCAGCTCTTGATCCAATCCGTTTCTCATCTCTACACTTGCTTCTCATCCACTCCTGAAGCTTATACTTCTCTCTCAGTAGGTTGGTGTTGCATCCTGATTCGTCCAAGTCAGTTTCGTCTCCATTGAGCACTCAATGTCTCCGTCTGATTGGTTTGGACGATTCTTGTCTCTCATGAGCAGCTGGGTGTCTCTCCCTGATAGCATTAGGTATTCTTGGAGCTTATCCACGCCCTCTCTCCTCTTTAGCAGCTGGTGTCGTTGCCCAATTGGTTTAGGCTTGCTTCGTCTTCATTCGGTAGCTGGATGTTGCTACATGATTGGCTGAATGGTTTTGGCTCCATCTGAGTAGCTGAGTGTCTTCTCCATACTGGTTAGATCATCCTTATCTTCCCAAGTAGCTGGTGTCACCACTTGGTTGGCTTAGAACAAGATTGCTCCAAATGTACGTTTCCTCGTCCAGAGGGTTTCGTACGTTTCCCTGTCTGGAGGGTTTCGTCCCCGTCGTGCTTGAGAATTAAAATCTCCTATTTTAATCCTTCTCTCATTTCCATGTTTCTGAGCTTCCACATAGTTGCTTGGAAATGTGCGGAATACCTCCATCCCGAACATTTACGTTTCTTGCAGTCGTTGCGGGATAGATCTTGGGCGTCCGTCCCATCTCTCAATCTGCTCGTCCGATTTGCATTCTGCTTCGACCAAACTTCTTAGAATGGTCTCTTATGTCTTCCAGACTCTTCTCTTCTTGATTTGGAGAACTTTGATATTTCGCCGTCCGTCGGCTCTTCCCATGTTCGCACAATGATCGTCCCACCTGGACAATCTTGTTGTATCTTCAGTTCTGCTCGATCGTTCTTGATCCTGTCTTGATCCAAGTCTTCGTTGTGATCTCTGGATTAGATCCCACGTCTTTGTCTTCCAATCCCAGAGTGTTGATCTTCCCATCCCGGCCTTTGGGATGTTTTAGGTCTTGATACGGGGTATCACAGACGGTGTTCGGCTGGTTTAAAAAAAAATTAATACCTCCTCGGTTAACCTAATCCGAACCAAATTGATTTGAGAACATAATAATACAACCAATATTTAAGATTTATAGACTTAGACAACATATGAGCCACTTGATTTGGAAAAATTTTTCCATGTAAAATTACTTTTTGAAGAAATGGAAATAACTTTAAATGGAATGTCAAATGTGAAATATTATATTATACAACATTATAACTCATCAAACGAAACTGAGCAAACCCGTAAAACGACACATATTTATGTTATACTGTTCAGACATTGAAGCTGGGTTGATTATATTTGCTCGGAGTTAGGATCTAGCATGAAATTATAACAATTTATATACATATTTATTGCATCTCATACTAATATAATCAAAATATAACTCACCCAACGAAACCGAGCAAAGCCGTAAAACGACACATATTTATGTTATACTGGTCAGATATTGAAATCGGTTTGATTATATTTACTCGGGGTTAGAATCTAGATGGTGTAATAACAATTTGTATATATATAAATTGTAACATCCATAAACCAAAAATTGGGAATTTCGTCGGTTCAATTTAAGTGATTTGGTTTGGGCCGGTTTAGTGGAGAAAGCCCTAAAATCAAGTTTAAAGAGTGCAGCCGTCTTCTCTTTGGGAATTTTCGAGTCAAAGGCTGCAGAGGAGAAAAGTGGAGTTTTTGGAGAGATTTTCGAGTTTTACTGTTCATCGGGTACTGTTCATCGGGTACTGTTCATCGGTACTGTTCATCGGTACTGTTCATCGTCGGGATTTCCGCACTGTTCATTGTCTTTCCTTCAGTTTCAATCCATTGTCAAGGTGAGTGCATGACTGTGGGTCCGTGATTTGCTAGATTAGATTTGGTTTGTGGTTGTTCTTGATGAGTTTATGTTTTTAATTGTTATTTTTATGATATTTTGGTTGTTCATGTGATGAATTGTGTGTTTGTGTGGTTTAATCTGGTTTATTGGTTTAATTGAATTTAATTGATTTGATTCTGGTTTATCTTGGTTTAATTGAATTTAATTGGTTTAATGGAATTAAATAGATTTAATTCGGATTTAATTAATTAAATAATATTTATTAATTAATTGGTTTAAAATAATTATTTTAAAATATGGAAAATTATTATTTAATTATGAGAATTATTTAATAATTGAGAAATTGAGTTTTAATTATTAAAAATTATTTAATAATTGGAAAATGGTATTTAATAATTATTGGAGTTTATAAATATTATTAAATATCTAGTAAATTGCGTAAATGGCTCGTAGGCAGAGTGATTGCCTCACTAAGTATTTATTAAATACTTACGCAACTCCATTCCAATGTGTTGCAGGTAAAAGATTTGTGTGATCGCGGAATCAAGGCTGAAGAGGGGGATGATAGGATGTTTACTGTTTTATTGTTTTGCATTATTTTGCTAGACTTGTTTAATTATTATTTGCTTCCGCTGAGCTGATTTATTTGTTATTGATATTTTATTTATTTAATTTTTTTTAAGACCTTCGCTAGAATTGATTAATATTTATAAAAAAAAAATGTTTGTTGTTTCATATATATATATATATATTTATTGATTTCATCTCATACTTAAATAATCAAATTAACACTAATTGATCATCATATATCACAAACATATATACTATTATTTACATAATTACCGTGTCAATATTTAAAAACATTTTATAACAGTTACAATATCCCGTGCTTTCCAAGCACGGGTCAGGATCTAGTTTACATTATAAATCAAATATATGCACTGACATAATGATATTGATATGTTTTCAGGTTTTCAAAAAGTTTGGTTTGGGATTTTTCGGGTTTTCTCCGGGTTTTAGGTTTTCAGATTTAGAGATATAAATTTTTTTAGTGTTTTTCAGAGTAGGTTCGGGTTCATGTTTTGAGTGTAAGACAAAGGCCTAAACTTAACCATAACTAGATCTTGACCCGTGCTGCTACAGCACGGGTTGTTGTATCTTATAAGGAAACATAATATTATGCTAATGAGGTGAATGTGATAATCAAATTATCATTACTCTAATTTAGGGTTAAAATAAATTATTCAATTATAGATGAAAGTGAGATATTATGTGTTTGTGTGTTTAATTTAGGGAGACATATTAAAAATCTGATTTTATGAGATATTAGTAAAATAAAAATGATTGACTTGTTTGTTTAACGCACATTTGGTAGATACCAGATATTGCAATTATGGCTCAATTCATTGTATTTTTTTATTTGATTACATTAACGAATAAACAAATGAAATAATATACAAATATCAAAGAGAAACTAGATCCTTATTTTTCGAATGATGATGTGAAATTGACGTTATCTGATGTAGTGGGATAAATTCACGAATGAAAATCCGGTGAAGATAAAGACTTATCAGAGTTTAAAGTTCGGAGACAGCAGCATCGTGTATTCATCAAAAAAAAGATAAAGAGCTTTAGATATAAGTGATTTAGCATTTCCTTTACTTCAAATCTGAGGATGCTTTCAAAATAAATGTCTCACTCGAAAAAACTAAAATATAAATATCATGCTTATTCAACATTTTTTTTATAAGGGATCAAATCAGTTATTTTTCTTTATATAAATTATGCATATCTTTTTAGAACTTACATGTCATGATCGTACGTAAAATATTAGACATGTAAAACACACTTAGAAAAATATGACCATTCTTCATTACCTTTTTTGGAGTACAAAGTTGAATCAAGGTGGATCCTATCCGCTGGTACATAATTGTAAAAAAAAATACTGTATGAAAAATAATTTGAGGATACTTTGAAAAATAAATATCTCATTTAAAAAATATAAAATATAAAAATCATTCTTCTGCAACACTTATTTAAGAGATAGCGCCAATTATTTTTATTTTTATTTTATATATGAATTGTGAATAACTTTTGGAATAAAGAGATAGATTTGTTCATGTTAAGATCACATGATCGTTATTATTTTTGTTTAGTTTTTGGATCTATAAATTTTCTTCAGGAAAAATTATCAGAGTATCACATAAATTTTTTTGTCTCAAAATATAAACAATTTTGTCTTATCAATGCAACTTTTACTTTATAAAATATTGAGTCAGTCTATTTTTTTTTTATGATTGGTGAGATTGTGATTAATTTATCTATTAAATAATATTTTATTAAATAAAAATAATTTTGTTAATTTTTCACTTTTTCTAGAAGTGCTTACATATTGGGACCGAGGGAGGGAGTATATAGGTCTCACTTTTCTTCTTTGCTGGTTCTCACCCATCGACTCACTTTATATGAAGTTTCGAGAATTCAATTCGCTGATGAGCTGATAATTCCAATCTGTCTATGTTCACTGGATGACTGTATATAAAATTTGGATTAGAAGTGACAAATTGATGAGCAGATGATTTGATAGGCTTTGCTTACTCTTATTATTCTCCTTTTTTGTTGCTAATGACGTTTACACATAGATATTTATACATGATAATCACAGTCCCGTGTTTCAAAGCATAAATGGAGCAGTCTTTTAGATAGCTTTGGTCAATAAAAAATAATCTTCATATTTGCTGGAATAATTATGTTACGAACAAAGTAAATAAATATTATGTCTATATACTCAGGGAAAACAACACGAAGGCAGACAAGTTAGCACGTAGTGCTCGAGCTCTACCTACTGATGTGTATTATGTAAACTCTGTTTCACCAACTTGGATTTCTGGGTTGGTTTAAACTAGAGTCGCTGTTGACAAAAAAAAAATATATATATATATATATATATATATATATATATATAATTGAATACACTAACGTTTCAATAACATTTTAAATAAAACTATACATTTCTTAAACTAACAAATCAATATAGATGCTCTATCATCATTCCACTGTTGCTTTCAATAATGCTTGTATTATCACTAGAATTCAACCCGCGCTACGTCGCGGTGGTATTTTCTTCTTTACCTTTTTTCTAGTTTTAATTTATTATGAATATTATTTATTTTGGTCATTATTAAAATTAAGGGTCGTTAAGAATAAACGAAAAATAAAACTAAATATATATATTTTTCATTGTAGTGTCACTTGAAATCGGTTATATTAAGAATATACAAATCATTGTTTATTAATTTTTATTTGAATATGAAAATATTGTAAAAAATATTAACTTCAAAATGTACATTCCATCAAATCCAAATTAACTTAACTTCATTTGAATACACTGCTACTTATATATGGCATTTTATTTGCTGAATCTTTTTCACAGATTTTCAAGTGTGCTTTAATATCTGCTTTGCTTAAATTTACTTTTACAATGACAAATTCCGCCACGATTTTTTCATATTATTTGTTATTATTTGTTTGTACTTTATAACTTAACTTATTTTTCTTGACTTATAATTTGATATTTTTTTCAAATTATTTATTAGGAAATAAATTATATGGAAGTAATTTTTCATTCTTTCACACTTCCCCTCAGTTTTCTTCTTCACCTGTCACTAAAATTCAATTTGATTAATAAAAAAATCTTGTAGAGTTTTTTTTTGTTAAATAAAATTTACAATGTACATGTTTTAATTTTCCTAAAACGTTTTTGTGATCTTTGAAAAATTATTTTATTGTGGTCCGTGTGTTAGCCTTAAAAGACATAAGTTAGCTAAATCACCCGTTAGAGTTCCACATTTTTTAATTTTAGTATCCTACTTCACGT